CCTTCATCATTTGTTATTCCTTTTTTCTACTTCATCAGCTTCATCTCATTATTATTGTCATTTTCATTCTTACTATTATTATCTTTATTATCATTATCATTACTATCATTATCATTATTATTATTGTTGTTGTTGTTTTTATTTTCATTATTATCCTCATTATCATTATTATTATCATTATCATCATTATTATTGTTATTATTATTATCCTTACTATTATCATTACTATTGTTGTTACTGTTATTGTTGTTATTATTATCATTGTTGCTGTTGCTGTTCTTTTTGTTATTGTTTTCGTTGTTGTTACTGTTATTATTTTCCTTTGTTTTCTTCTCCTCTTCCTCCTCCTTCTCTTCCATCCTTTCCTTCTTCCTCTTCTTCTCTTCTTTTCCTACTTCATTACCATCATCATCTGCATCGTCTTTCTCGTCTTCTGCATTTTCTTCTTCATCTTCATCATCTTCTTCTCCTTCCTTTTTTAACTTCAAATTTCTGATATTCACAATTTTCTTTTTTTTAATGTGAAAGTAAATATCGAATTTGTAGGCCTATCGTGTTATTAAATTTACATTTGTCTTTGTAAATTTGTCTTTGCTAACTGCTAATGTAAACTGCACCTGTTGTGTTTGCTTAGTGAATGTCGTTACCTTCTATTATGTATGTTTTTGCATCTCGATATATAGAGAGAAAGGTACATACGTATAATATGCAGGTAAATAGATAGGTATATACATGAATAATTCGATAGATAGATGGTTAGGTATATGCGTAAATTATTAGACAGATAGATGGATTATGTATATGCAAAAATAATTCGATATATGGATGGATAAGTATATTGTAGGTAGATTATTAGGTATATAGATAGATAGATAGTATGACAGATGGCCAGATAAAGAGATAAATAATTAGACACATAGAGAAATAGAGAAATTGGTCGATAGATATAGAATATATATCACAAATAGTCCACAACATTACTATAACACATATAATATATAATCAATACACAATCTATTAACTCATTTCCTGAAATCATCAGGAATGTTTAACTTTTTCTCATAGTGACAGAAGCTCAACAAAACAACAAAATATATTGGAATAACCTAATGAGGTATTTTTTATTGAACTATTTCCCTTGAACGTACGGAAACAGTAAACACTTAATGACAAGGACACGGGGTTATATGACTTAATGAGATAATGATATAGTTTTCTCATTTGCATAATGTGGGAGACTTCACTTACGTTTGTATTGTATTTTATCATCGCTAAAGACATATAAAATCAATATGACTTTTGTACAATACAAATACAGTCTCTTGCTTCGTTTTGTTTTGTTTGTATGCTGTTTTTGTCTTGTTTGTTTGGTTTTAGATAATCATTACTGTTATGGTTGTTTTTAAGTGTGTGTTTGTCTTTGCGCTTGTGTATGTTTGTATTTGTTTAAGTGTTTGTATTTTGTCTTTCTAATATAGCTTCTATTTGTTTGTTTGTTTGTTTGGTTGGTTTAATTTATTGCTCTTCTCTGCGTTTTCTTCTTTCGCGCTCTTTCTCGCTCCTTCTCTTTCTTTCGCGTTCTTTCTCGCTTTCTCGCTCTTTCTCTTTCTCTTTCTCTTTATCTTTATCTTTTTTCTCTCTTCTTTACCAGCTGTTGTGGCCGTAACCTCCTCCACCTCCTCCGCTGCTCCCGAATCCACCCGAGACGAAGCCGCTTCCACTGAAACCTCCACCCACAGCAAAGCCACCGCCATGTCCACCTCCTGTCGAAAAGCCACCGGTGTTCCCGCCGTATCCACCCGAAGAGTATCCACTTCCACCCGACGAAAATCCACCTCCGCCGTGGCCTCCACCCGACGAAAATCCACCGCCGCCGAATCCACCTCCGTGTCCACCCGACGAAAATCCACCTCCGTGTCCTCCACCCGACGAAAATCCACCTCCGCCGAATCCACCGGAAGAATATCCACCTCCCCCCTGGTGTCCCCCGCTGACTCCCACGGGGGATACGACTTTCTTCACCGTGACGACCTTAGTAACGACCGGAGTCACGACCTTCCTCACCGTAACGACTGGCCGGACCACCGTCGTCACGACCGGACGACTGACCGGATAACTGTAGGGGGGGGGGGGGGTAGTTGATTATGGAATTGGAAAGGGGGAGACGAAGGAAGGAAGAAGAGAGAAGAAAAAATAGCAAACACAAAATAAAGAAACAAAGAAATAAAGAATTATCACCATCAATATCTAAAATTTCAAAGTAGGCCTATATCTATCGCACAATATATAGCACTGAATCTTCATGAAAAAACTAACTATATTCGTTAAATAAACATCGATGGAAAATTAACAAAATATAAGGAGCGTCTAAGAGGAAACGTAGGATAACTTGGCTGAAGCTTTTAGTCGAAAAGGGCGTATGTGATTTCTTTAGTGGGAGGAGAGTGAAATATGTGTAAAATATGTATGTGTTTGGTATACGACCACGGACACATACACA